AAACTTTGCTAATGTTAGATAAGAGAGAAATTGGTCGATAATTAGAGCACAGATTTCGTGCTCCCTTTTTATGGATTGCTTTTATTATCGCTTTTTTCCACAATTTCGGAAAAACTCCTTGTGCTAACTCCTTTATGCTAATCGGATTTTTCTATACACTTAAATCTAATCGAAAAAGTTCAGCGTCCCGCTTGCAGAATTATCCCACAAGACTACAAAAATTCCTGTACATCTCTGCTTAAAAGCTTGAACTTATCACTTTTGAATGTGCGTAGCGAATACTTTCGTTTATACTGTTTTCGTAAAATCTATAATGAAATGAGTTTTTTATCCGGTCACAACTTGATATCTCATTTTTAATCTCCGGGGCTAAGTCGCTCCAAACGTGTCATAGTCCTATTTTTTACCTTAAAATCTTCTGTAGGGCCTTTCTTTTTTTAAAATCCCTAAATTGTGGAACAAATTTCGCTCCTCTCGTATCATCGCACCATCCCACCGTATCTTCAAAAAGCTTTTCAAGCAGCATCTAAGATTTTTTTGATCCATTTTGAATTAGTTGTTTTCATGTTATCTTTAAGCGTAAAAGGCTTTTTCTCGCATTAGACTTTTGTACCACATTTAGTTCTCATTTACCATACCATTACCATCGATGTAAATATTTTTAAACCACTACCAATACCATTATCATGAGAATGGAAATCCACGGTATTCATAGAAAGGAAAGAAAAAAAATATAAGCACGTGCATAAGACCTTTTCAGTAGAAAGATTGTACGGTTATGCGCTAGAATCCGAAAGATGTTTGATACCATTACCATAATTTTAGATTTCTGTTACCATTTATTATCAGAAATTAAAAATTGTTTTTTACCATCAGTATTAACCTAGTAATGATAATGGTAAGCTAATGGAACTTTTTTTGTTATCGCAGGTCTCTAACCACCTTGCATTATTTTATTTCTTGCTAATAGACAGCTAGCAAATAAGAGGATATCTCCTTTCGCATATGCATATCTTTCTGTTCTCTTTCTTTTTTAACGACGCGTTGAGACGAAAAAAATCTCGACACATGGGATATCTTATGTGAAAAAAGATAGCTTCTTATTTGTTAGATTCCGAAATAATAATTATTCAATCTTTCATAGTATTACGCAATTATTGAAAGAGAGTCGTTCCACGCAAATTTTTTTTTCGAAAGTCTAATGATCTCGTATCGAAAATTACGAAATAACATACCTTTTTGACGTCTAGTGTGAATTAATCATCGTCCTCTTGTAACAATACATTTTCTTTGTCTTTTCCGTTTTGTTATGTTTCTGCTTACATACATATAATATATATATATATAAGTAGAAATATGTAAAAGTTTAACGTATTTAGCAATTGAAAGTACTTTAGCATAAATTCTAACTTTTCTTGTGCTTTTTTCTTTTTCTACTATTTCTTTTTATTTCAAATCAATTAGACTATATAACAGCAATTTTTACAAACACATATTGATTTATGTGTAGAGGAACATGCACGTCGAATTCAACTAGTCGGATTTCACAAAATAAGACACACAAAAGTAAAAGTATAGCGTAGAGTATGCACATGCAAATACACATCATTAGCTAAACTGATATGACGCTTGTTAATTTGTTCTAAAAATAAAAGCTTTTTGATAAAGGTGAGATAAAAACAATTTGTATTTCTTCAGAGATTTTATTTAGTTGAAATGTCATATGCCTTAAAAAAACAGAAATATAAATTGATTTTGATTAGTCCGACCAAGACGTAAGAATATAATCTTTCTAACTTTTTAATTACGTGAAGTTGTTTTAGTGTATGTTCTCTTTCGTATAAAACATATTTGTCGTTGACTGATTTAATGTATATTTATATACTTCTAAATTTTATTTTATTAAGTTTTTTTTTTTTGTTATTTTAGAAATTCGACAAATGCCAAAACCAAAAGTTAGTTTTGATCTAAAAGATACTTATTCTGACGCAAAAACTTTACGTAGTAGTAACACAAATAAACGTTATAGACGTCTAAGAAAATTTGAACGTTGTTATTATAAAAAAATATGTGAAGTAACAAAAACTGGACACAATTTAACTCAAGAACATAATATTAATGATGGAAATTTAGGATTTCATCCTGTACACAGTATTACTTATTCATTAAATAAGAAAAAACGATGGCTATTACCGGATTTGATTCAACGTCGTATACTTGATAACGAAAACAATGATAAAAAATACACAGAATTAAAAAAACAAGATCAAACAAAAACAGTCAATGATCAATTAAAAATTGTTATGTATGAAAATAATAACATCAAATATCATTCAACATGTCTACGATATTGTAATAATAAAACTGAACCACGTGTCATCGAACCAAAATATCATCAATATTTTAATAGTGAAACATTAACAAGTTGGATAAATTTTTCAACACGAACACATTTTATACCAAGAGGACAACGTCGGCGACGAAGAACAAATAATAATAATCCTATGGAGAATGATGTTGATCCAAATACATCAAATTTCGGTAGGTTAAAAATGTAACTTCATTTAATAAAGAGCACTTTTTCTGAGAAATTATCAGAAGAAATGTTTGGATTTTTGCGATACATTGACATTTTTACATTTAAAGTAGAACACAAGGAGAACGATTAGTGAGCAAAGTCTGGCGTTTGTAGTAGATGACGTTAGTCTAAAATGTAGTCAGGATCTTTGAATGCTTTAATGCGAAATAGACTGTTTTTTCAAGTCTATGATGAAAGAACGGTATCTTTTTCAGAAATATGAGTGTTTGAAATACGAGTCTTCGAAATACGGTTGTAGTATTGCACACTGACTACCATAGTATTTTATATTTGGTAAGAACGGCAAAAAGGTTTTGTATTTTGGTAAAATTGTGTGAAGTGACAGTTGTCGTATCTCAAAATGTTATTGTTCACAGTTACTAAATGTTACTACACAAAAAAATCTATTACTCAACGGAAGAGCCATATTTTGAAAATGGAATCGGCAAGTTCCACAAAGTGTTCTATATAAAGAAGGGCACTATTTATATTTTGTGCTTTTCTCTGTCAATTTTGATAGTTGAGAGTTGAACTTTTTTCTAACGAAGTTCTGTAAAATACAATCGTGAAATCCTATGCAGTCAACACAGACATGCTCCCGAAAAGGTATATTTTCAAACTGACTGTTGCGTTTTGTGAATAGTACGCCATTATTTGGCTGAATATGCCATATTGTAGCTAGAAAAGCTATATATGACGAGCCCCAATTGAAAAATTCTGATGCCTAAACTAACATGAAGATTTACCAATTTGAAGAAAAATACTTCTTTCTTTTTAAACTTTAACTCTCATCGCTCCAGTCCAAATAGCACTGGAATTGGGTTCCCCCATTGCATTGTGTCCAAAGGTACCGAGACAGCATGAGCATTAGATAGCTTGTCCAAGACTATCACGCGACCACCACTGTCGAGATTCAAACTCCGTATGTTTGAAGTACATTGTCTGCCCACTAGCCGACTGAATCACGCTGCTCAAATGCTTCTTCTATCATCCTGAAAAGGCCAGACAGGTGTAAAATCAAATTTCTACAATAGAGAGAGTGCGAGATTGAAACTTTCATTTAATACAAGCAAGTTTTCAAGGAAAATGGGCATTAGCCCTTCATCAACTAATTCCGACTTGTTTTGAGCGTTGTTAGAAAAAACACAATCGAAAACATAGGATAACGTGCACCAGAGTGACTTGGCGTCTTCGCGGCTAGATGGGGCACGATAATTAATTTTAGGAAAAAGAGCATTTGTAACGGTTGTGTTCAGGCGCATAATAAAGGGGTTGTCACATTAGAAGACCCTCCCCAACCTCTTCATGTAATAGTTGAAATAGAAGACCCCCTGTTTTTAAGATTTTGGAAAAAACGTCAGTTATACTGTTAATAAAACGATATTTTGGCGAAACCTTTTTTGGGGACACAATACAAGACCCGTCTAAAATTTTTAAAACTCAGGATAGAAAAGACTCTTGTCACCCAAAGATCCGGATCTTCTAATGTGACAACCCCTTTAGTGTTGGATGCATAGGATTTCACGATTGTATTTTACAGGAACTCTTTCCATATGATTTTGTAGAAAATTGAATGGGCTAGCTTTTGGAAAAAAGTTCAAGTCTCAACTATCAAAACTGACAGAGAAAAACGAAAAATACAAACAGTGCCATCCTTTATGAACACCCGTTATATCGTTTACATTCTGCATTGTAAGATGCAGTACAAATCATTTTAGAAAACTTTCGAATAAAAATGAATTGTTCATATAGCAACATAGTTTAGAGATTAGCAAAAACTGATATTTCACTTCAATTTACTAATTTTGCTTTTTATTAAAGTTTAATGACAGGAAAAATAAGCACATTAGTTGCAGCTTATGGCAATTTTAATTCAGCATTAATGAAGTTTTGTTTTGAACTCTAAAAAACGATTTAAATATGTGCGTGCATGATATTTATGCGTTTTACTGTATTTTATTCCTTTTTTTGTTTTCAGGCATTCAACAACGCCCTGGCTTCTTTCACAGTGAAGTTACTTACAAATTTTTATATCCATATCGACCATCAAACAAATTTGATTCTGATAATGAAAGTAGTCGATGCAATATCGGAACAAAACGATCCTGTTTAAGATATAGCACAAGTCCACATCAAGATCGCTATTCAATGACCAAACATGTACCAAAAGTACACAAAAGAATAAGATTAAATTATGCCATTAATGATGAATTATCATTTGATGTCTATGATGGAGACGATGATCTAAAAGAACATGATTACGTTTTTATATCTAATAATTCTAATGAAGAAGAAGAAAGTTTAGTTTACATTAGTGAAAAAGATGCTGAGTATGATTCAAAGCTAACAATTGACGATGAAGAAATAATTTCAGGTGAGATGTCTAATATATCAGTAAAATTCATGTCAAAGAGTTCATTCAATTTGTTTTTTAGATCAATTTCCATCGCTATGTTATCCGATTAGTTCATTTATTGATAACAAACGTTCACATTCATCAGAATGTATTGTTTCAATGAATGATGATCTATCTATTTTTCCAGACTATAAATCAAATAAAGTTTATGGAGTTCCAGAATATGCATTATATCAAGATGATGTAATAAAAGAAAAACAACCGCGACAAATCGTTTGCTCATCTTCATTTTCTAAACTTCATACAATTATTTATGATGTACAAGAATTTTTAAATTGTATGAAACAACATCATAAATATATAAAACAAGCAAATATTTATCCACCCACATTTTTACAGCAATATGATGTTGTTGATGATGAATTGGTACAAATATTTTATATTTATGAGAATACATATTGTGATATTTATATGAGAATTGAAAATGATTTGAAAACGAAAAATTCTAGACTAATTTCAGATTTAGTCAATCAAATAGCATCGTCAGTCGATTGTTTAACATCCATCATCAATCATGTTCAAAATTTTCTTTCGTTATTTCGAAATGAAAATGAAAATACTTTTATCACTGTCTCTACAACAACTGATATGGTTAAAGAAACATCTGGTTCATTAAAACTTCCGTTGTCTGTATCTTCACATTTTTCAACAGTTCGTCCAAATTCAACAAATAAAGAAATTGCACTTAAAGCTTTAAAAATTTTATTTAATGATGAAACAGTGTGTTTTGATACAAATGTGATACAAGAAAAAGTTCATGACTGTTGTTCAATATGTTTAGAACTATTTACGGAGGAAAATCGTGTTTATTGTCTTCTACCATGTCAGCATTGTATATGCGCTGAATGTTTACAAAATTATATCCAAATATCTTTACAAACACTCATGTTTTCGTCATCATCCATTAATATCACTTGTTTTTATTCAAAATGTTCAACAATACTAAATAACGTTACATTAAAACGTTTTCTATCATTACAGTTATATAAACGACTATGTGATTATTCGAATGAGAAACGTTTGTTTTCATTAAACATATATCGATATTGTCGTTCAAAACTTTGTTCAAAATTAATGATTATCGATAAAGAAAAACGATTTGACGGTGCTATGTGTTCATGTGGAGAAAGAATTTGTTTAAAATGCTCAGAAGAATGGCATTGGCCAGCCACATGTGAACAATATAAAAATTATTCAAAACGTTTGAAAGCAAGTGGTGATCATTTATTGACCTCAGAAGGTTTTTCTCAACTAAGTACAGGTTATATTGCAGAAGGTACGTCTTAAAAATGAATAATGAAAAAGAGCAATGGGAAGTTCTTTCTAAAGAAAAAAAATCATTCAAAAGAACAATTTTTGATCTATTTTTTGAAAGAACATGATCTAACATTGAAATGACCATTGAATTTAGACATTCTATTTATTTTTTCTTCTTTTTTTTCCTTCTATTCAAATTTTTCAGTTTAATGTTCTTCTTTGCTCTAGGTAAACATTGTCCATCGTGTGGAAGTTTTTGTGAGAAGAATGGTACGTATTAATAAATATAAAGAAAAACATATTTATATATTCAATATATTTTGTCTCCGTAGGAGGTTGTATGCACATGAGTTGTATATGCGGTGGAGAGTATTGTTGGACATGTTTGCAACGTTGGCAAAATCATAGTTATGATACATGCTCATACATTCAAGAATCAACATATGAATTGAAATTATCTAATCGTAATCGGCTTTATAATTTGGCTGTGAAATATCGTCATGCACGAAATCAATATCATATTGAACGATTTTTAACTCTAATACGTTCATATGATAATAAAATATTAACAAAAAATTTATACAATGAAATAATTGCGTTGTATATTGATATTAATACAATAGCCGAATTTTTATGCGTATCTTTACATCGTAAACGTATACAAAATAATATACGATTTGTTTTAGGACAAACGGCAAAAAAATTTGATGCTTATTCTTTACGTTTACAATTGTATGTTGAAGATTATAAGATATTAAATCAAAATTTAATTGAACAAATTCAAAAAATACGTTTTCAAGTCAATCAAACATTCAAAAATTTAGCATATATGAAATATCATGATATTTTTTGAAATTATTTTTCTATTCTTATTATCATTTATTAAATAGAAATTATTTTAGAAAGAAACAAATTGTTATTCTTCGTTTTGTATTTCTCCTTCTTCACTTTATATGTAACGTTCGCTTTCTCTATTTTTGCTACTGTTATCGATGTAAATACATTTTCTGTGATATGGTTTATAGAATAATATATTATTTATATTTGTTACTAGTCATGCTCTTTTACTATTAACAAGCGAAACAAAAAACATTCTAAAGTCGTCTTATCCGAGTATATTCTAAAAAGGTAATCTATTCTTTTCGTATGTCAAATAAAGCTAGAGCATTTGATCTAGAATATAAAATGTTTTCTAATGTATCTTTGCCAAAATTTGATGGAAAATTGATTGCATAGAGCTAACAAAGACATTTTTATGGTTACAATGACATTTTAAGATACTGTCTTGATTAAATATGCATAACCATATTATATCCATACAGATTACAAATCGTGTTTAACTCACTGTTCTTTTTTTTACAATTAAAAGTTGAATTTTTGGAGGACTTATTGATAATATAAAAAAATAATTGATTGAATTTGAAAAGATATTGATCAGGTCAAGAAAGAAAGAAAGAGAGAAAGACAACATTGTATTTGTGAAATGAAATACACTATCATATGTGTGTGAACTTATTGTTTGTTCAAATTTTTTAAGAGTTGCTTTACAATTAAAAAATAAAAATCTTATACATTTATTCGACAATAATTTTCTAGACCACTGAATATTAGATATAATATCCATAATAATAAAAATAATAGACTACTTATTAGACGATATTTAAACGGTCCTCCTAATTCTCCACCACCAAAACATTTTAAACGTCTTAACATTAATAATAGAATAGCTACTGCTGCAAATGAACAAAATAATGTTACACTAAATGATAGTGAACCTTTTTCGACGACAAATTTTGTATTTTTGAAATAATGATACCATGCAGACATTGCCCATGGTAATCCAATACCGAGAAAAACATTGACTGCATTTGAACCATTTACATTGCCAATCGAACTATCCGCATATTTGTCGTGTTCGGCTGCTACTTTACTAGCAAATGTATCTAAATAAGAAGAAAAACAAATGCTATCGATCATATCAAGGATGACTAATGAGTATTTATCTTGTAAAAACAAAAAGGAAGACAGCTGGATACTATGATACACTAGAAAATCAATCACATACATATGCTTAAAGAGAGGATAGCTTCACGGGTGGATAGTGTGGGTAGGATGATAATAATTAGGTCCATCTGCAGACATTTGTCTGTGGTTTTAATGTCCTAATAAATACCTGGTAAACTTGTTCCCAATGCTACGAAGGCAATTGCCGTCATTGTATCTGTGAGACCTATTGTACATCCAAACTAAAACGGTAAAAAGAACATTATGAACGATCTTTGCATATAAATACTTTAGAATCTGTTAGAAGATATTCTCAAATTGTCAAAAAAACAGATTTGTGCACTTTATTCTTGAGCATCAGAGTATCAGCTCACCTGTGTTGCTAAATCACCGATAAATGCCGTTAGTACTCCAATAATCAATATTGATACAACGAAACATGCCCAACCACCAGCCATACCTTAAAAACAAAAAGGAAAGATGAAAATGGTGGCATATGGAAAAATTTTTAATTTTAACACGTACTCGTTGGTGGAACAAATGCAAATAAAAATTTCCAAAAAAATGAAATAAAATGAAGCATATAATCTTTGCAAGTAGCTTGTTGTTTATCAGCATCTCCATCATCATCCTCATCGTCTAAATGAATACAATGGAGTCTCTTTTTTGCCATCATAGAATAGTACCTTTAACACAGAACGCTTGTTTAAATTGTTCAATCCATGTTGAAGTTCCAACAACAATCGCTGTATTCGCTTTGTATAACGCTTTATCAACAGCATTCTAAAATTACAATATTTTTGTCTAATATTTATTCAACTTTATTTTAACTATATTTTTTTCTACCTTAAACTCTTTACTCTCACGTATTCGTATTCGTAATAGATGTTTTTCGCCCAATTTCGGTCTACCAAGATCAGCGATGCGTTGTTCTTCTTCGGTCAGAGCTATATTAAATAGCAACAATTGTAAAATTAGAAATGGAAAAATTTTATCGAAACATACGAATCTCCCGTTCTTCTTCGATTAAAACTGGTTCACCGAGACGAAGTAAAAATGTTTCATTTCGTTCATATTGATCATGATCAAGAATTGGAACTTCAATCGTTTTTCTACAAAGAAAAATTATGAACTCTAGTATGGTGATAAAGTTTTCAACAAGAAAGGATAAACGACACTCTAATTCTGATTATAAGTTATTTCATGTCGTTAAATTTTGCAGTTTATCAATATCACATTATAAAAATCATTCGGGTCTTTTTTCTGTATCTCACTTTCGCATTCATTCATCGATTTTCTGTCAGATTTATCTCGAAATCCAATAATTTGGATGAGTAATTTAATTCCTTCTGGTACTAATTTTTTAGAATCAGAATGCGCTCAAGGTAAAATTTATTCTCTGTGGCGTCATCGAACTCTTCTCTTAATTAGTTTATAAGCTCTAAAACTTTGATGAATTTCAAAAAAGAACATTATATTTGTATGACTGATAATTGTGTTGATATACTGGAGTGTATACATGCTCCATTCTACTAATACAACATAACAACAACTTATTTGCATAATTATTACATCGATACTGATGAGTGACATCTAACTGATTTGAATATCAACTGAAATGTTATATTATTGTGGAGGTGTCTTACATTTGGAAAGAATCTGAGAAATTAGCCAATAATAAGACTGTTGCTAATGAATGTATAGTACAAAACAAAAATCGATCTACCAGAAAGACAAACAAAAAAAAAAAGAGATTATATTCTAGTTCGGTTTAAAGCTTTATGGTTTTGAGTAAGACATATTCTAATAACTCCTGACAAAACGCTAAACATTAATTTGACTGTGAGAGGAAAAGGTTGACATATGGTATCATAATTGGTTATATCATTACAGTACGATTAATTTTCATGTCTTATAGTATATAAGGCACGTTTACTCGCGTGGCTTCATGATTGAGATCACTTGTTTGTCTATGTTTATTAATTAGATTTAGAAAATGGTCTCAATTTGAAATAGAAAATTTGTTCTTTTCTTACACCGTTTATCATTTCGGATTACTCCCTAATTGGGAATGATTGCCTGCTGTAGGGAAAACAATAGACTAAGATTTTTATCTTGAAATCTTTGCTGAAAGCGCATCCATTTTCATAATGATCTGAAACGACATTAATGAATCGGATAAGAGTATAAAGATGAAGAGTAAAATTATCTTGAAACAAAATATCTCTATCTATCCTATTTCGTCTATATACGAATCTATATTTTTCTTGTATAAAAACTGAAAGGAACTAGGAAGGTATATTATATAAAAGCTATTTATATTGCTTAAGACGTTAGCTTATCAAGGTCTATTACGACCATTAGGTTACCGTTATATAGTTGTGTTAGATAATGATTGTAATGTAAAAGATGATGATGAGTATGTACCTATAATGTGATTATTCGGAATATTCTTGTAAATGATAAACGGTGTATAAAGTATAAGAAAAGACTAAATTCTCTATTTATTAGATTGAGATCTCTTTCTAAATCTAATTAATAATTATATAAAACACGTGGTCTCAATCATACTAGAGTCATTAATTGTTCTCCTTTGACACAATCTTCTCTGTTTATTCTTTCTCTCAGCAGATGATATCATCGAACATATTGTATAATATTCTTTTTTTTTTCTTTTTTTGAATTATTATTTCATCATATCATAATTGTACAAAAAAACGGGCAAATATCTGTATACAAATATTATTCTATAGTATTAATATAACTCTTGCAGATACACACGATATAGTTCTTTTTGCCCAACAATGACAATGTGATTATTGAATGACAAATGAGTTTTAATTATATGATTAAATTTGTTATAGAATCAGACCTTTTCCAAACATATTATTATAAGAATATAATTATGTTTTTGTCGCATCTATTCTAGAAGCAAATAAACAATAATATACATAACCACGACGTCAACATCCATTTATGAAAACATGAAAACAGTTTTATAATTATTATGTTTTTCATAATTATTATACAGATGTCAAATTTATCATCTTTAGAGTAAATATCAAAAATAAGATATATTTCATTAATTTAGTGATTTGACATTGTAAAATGTTAATCAAAATTTTGTTAAACTTTTCTCTAAATACAAATTCTTGAATAAAAATAATTCATTTAAAAAATATAAAATTCTCAATACTATCATAATTCACTTATTAATTCAACTATGAAAACTTTTTTTTCTGAGTTACAATGGACTCGTTTCACCTAAAAGTCACCAAGATCTTGAAATTGGAAAACAGTTGGACACTCAATAAAGTCTATTTTAAGATTTTTTTCCTTTTTATGAAAATACAATAGTGTTCATTATGCAGCTACATTTAAAATGAATTAAATGCAATCAGATCTACTATTTTAGACTGTGTTTTATTAACATAGAAAAAGAAAAAAAATATGGAATTTTTCTCGTTTTTTTTTCTTCTTCTTCTTCGGTTAACACAGTACCAAAACTATTTTTGATTGTGTTTGATCAAATGATCAAAAAACATATAGTCTATATTTTTATTTATCTATTTATTCATTCATTGAACACACTGACTATATGACAGAACAATCGGAAGAATTGGCTTTGACAAGAGTGAAATGGAAAAATTTTGTTTTCTGTAAGAAAAAATAGATCGAGGCTATACGTACATTATAGAAGGCAGGTGGATAGAAGTGATTTTTACTTCTATTCACTTTGAATACTTTTGTGTCATGTACTCTCTAAATTAATAATAGTAGAGATTAGGCTATAATTATCTCCACAGAAAAAACCTTCGAATTGTAAAATAAAAGAACATCAAATCAAACAGAAAGGAAATCGTTCATTCAATCAACGGATGAGAGAAGAGGTTTCTATAAATAATTTTTTTTGATAAATTTTGTATTTCTCGAAGTAGTACATCTACGTAGAAAGTGAATTTTTCCGTTTTTTTATCCATCCTTCGAAGTAAAACGATTTATACGTATTTGATTTTGAGAGTTAGGCGAGGGATAGAATCTTCCTAGGAAAGCAAAAAAATGATAAACTAATGTTTCCCATGGGGAAATTTTAGTATGTAAACTGGTGTGTACACTCGTGAATCTCGTGGCAGGAACTGTGGTCGTACGTGAATATCGCAAAATGGTGTGTGGGCACGTGTAAAAAATATATTCCACTTATGACACATGACCTATTCATCTGTTTTCGCATCATAGTTTTCGTAACTGATCACCACACTAGAGAAAGTCGTAAAACGATGTGTAAACACACGTGAAAAGAAATTGTCCTTGTGAACGCGTATGAAATTATAGAAAGTTCACACGTGGTCACATATTTGATGTTGCAACTGCACGATTCCAATATCATGAAACTTCGACAAAATTTCTTCATGAATTCTCTCAGTTGGATCGAGAAATTATTAACTGTTTAGACTTGAAATTTTATCAAATACCAAAGACTTTTTTCTAGCACTGTCATGAAGTCAAATACGTTAGTCTGTGACAGATATCTAAGCAGTTGAAATAATCGTGTAGCATCAGAACGAATCAGCTCAAGTCTTTGTTTGACGAAAGAAATGAGAGATTATTACAAAAAATTTTCAAACTATAAATAGTTCAGTTTGCATAACTCGTAAATGATGACCTTGTGTTTCTTACAATAAAAAATTATCAGTTCTTAATAGAAATCCTTCATAATGAACGTATTTGTAGTATTTGTTTTTTTAAATCATTTATTGTTGACTGCAAATGATCTGTCATAAAATAGGTTACTACACCACTACGAACATCTCTTTGACCTTCTGGCATAGAAGAAGAGATAAAGGCAGATCATGTTTACTGATTAAATAAGTACTAATCAGTTATATATGTAGATTAAGGCGTTAATAGAAAATAACAGAGAAAAAAAGTTATTTCTTATTATTAATAGCAATATATCATTTATTTGAGACTAGAGGAAAAAAAATAAATTCATTATCATAGGCAAAAAATAAAACTCATTTTGAACGTGATACAAATCATTATATACTGTGAGAGAGATGAATATTATCAATGCATATTATAAGACATTTCATAATCCTGTGAAAAATATGGCATTTAATATTCGCATAACATTTTGATGAAAAATTCTCTTCAGGCAAATAAGGCATAAGTAAGACAAATAGACAGTACAGTCTAACTTATGATAACCCTTTGTTACGAGTTCTATTCATTTTTGTATACATTTAAGATATGAAATGATAAATTTGAATAGTGTAATGGTTTACTACTTACTCATTCTCATTATTTTCAAATATAACTTCACCCATTGTTGTTTGATAATCTTTGCCACTTTTTGCTGTTTCATCCTCAGTTGAATATGGTACGCAAACTCGTCCACGAGCACCGGACGTACGTAGAACTTTAATTGTTACTACTTTATCTGATTCTATGACAACTTTTTCTTCTGCTTCAAAAACGAACATGCCCGAATGATCGTCATCAATAACCATGACAATGGCTGATGTAGGTTCTGATAACAGAACAGTTTTATCATAAGCGCCAGGTGTCAAACGTCCCTGACTATCTTTAACTCTTATATTACTTAATTTAACGGTAAAATGTTCATCTAAAAATTCGAAAAGAAAAGTTGCTTCAAAAGAAAAGATAACATTTGCGTCATTTATTTACCTTCTTCAAATATTTCATCATCAATTATTTTTATTTGAATTTGTTTACGAGTTTCAGTAGGATAAAATATAAGTGTACCTTCGGCTGCTACATAATCTTGTCCATGGGTAGCTGTACCATCTTCTGTTGAATAATCAACATATATTGAATTACGCATATTTCCACCCTCTCTCACAATGTATAATGTAACATAACCCGCATTTTCTAACACCGTATAATGACTCGGTTCAAAACGAATTTTGGTTATATTAGCCGAAGATGTGACATCGTTTGTTTGAGTTTTATCTAAGTCAGTTCGATCTGGTTCATTTAACTTTTCTAATAATTTTCGTTTGACATTACCACCACCACCTAATCTTTTTGTGGCTTGAATACGGTAGTAGGCTAAAAGAAAAATCTCATTAATTCACTTAAAATGTATCTCGAATTAAATCACAGTTATTGGAAACCGTGAAATTATCTGTCTAGTAGTCTTTCACTATACTCTGTGAATGAAAACAACCGTCTATCTACCTCTTGATTTCGGTACACGATTCATCATTTCAACGACTGCCATTTCATTTAATAATTTTACATCATAATCTGGATGTAAATTTCTCAATTCTTTCCATATATTAATAAATTCTTGTCGTCTTTGTTGTTCGACTTGTTCATACCATAGAGCATCGTGTGATGAATCGCCCATTTGATTCAATATTGCACCCGATATACTTTTACTTATACCCGTTGGATTTTTTTTGTCATGTGTCAATAAATCTGTTTCATTTTGTTGTGTATAAGTATTTTTTCTTAAACCATCTTTTACAAAATCACCATCAATCATCTCATTTTGTTCTGATATAATTTGTCCCTCACGATTTAATTGAACTCTTTTTTGTGATGTAATACGAACACGTAAATAATTACCCACTTTTGTATCAACTATGTACGCCGAAAATACGGTTAATGGAAAAAATAAAAATGTTAATGTACCTTCGACAACATCGATTAAACCGGGCGTAATTTTCGCAACAATAGCCCATAACCAAATATATGCGAAAATGCTCCATGTTGTGGTCACGAAGAAGACGCGTAAATGACGAATACGACGTACTTCACCTCGAGGTATCGATATAATACAAATAGCAATAATAACAAATAGATTAAATGCGGCACTTCCAACAATAGTACCGGGACCAAGATCTCCTTAAAAAACCAATATGACATTTTGTTAATAAATCTTTATTTATAATAATACATAAACGCACTTTACCTACCACTTTCAAAATTTTTTCCGACTACTTCGATAATTGACAATAATATTTCCGGTGCAGATGAGCCAAGAGCCATTAACGTTAAATTAGACACTGTTTCATTCCAAATACTAACAGTTGTTACAGAAAATGTTCCATCCGGATTTTTTTTTCTTATTTCACGTTTTTGTGATGTAATTACTTCAATGGCCGCCATGAAACGATCCGATATTATAGCTACACCGATAAATAAATAAATTAAGGCGAATAAATAGACAATTGCACGAGATATTTTATCACCCGTTGATATACCTAAAAAAATAAAATTGAGTTTAACATCTGTTGTTTTTTTTTTATGAAATTTTTATTCATGAATATCTATCTACCTATTTGTGGCCGCCATAACGGTACGATTAAACCGTCTCTTGTACTACAATTTGTTCGAATTTTTGCACATGTGGTTAATGATGAATTAGCAGTGGTTATTATTTGTTGTTGATTATTGTTTGATTGTGCATCGACAACTATTGATATAACTTTATTGTGAACAGCTAACACAACTGCCAATTGGCGAGCTATATGTTTACTTGTAAGAAATATCATTATTTCATTTTATATCCATGTGTGAAATCAACACAATAGAAAAAATATCAAATATTTGTAGTTTATGTAGCTTATCATCTCATCAATCCTACGATAAATACAAAAAATTCTTCATTTTTTTCGATTTCGCTCAACTAAAAACATTTATTTTTTTTATTTTTTTTTTTTTTATTCTAAAATGAAAGAAAATAGATCATTTTTTTCAAGAATGAGACGAAGTTGAAATCAAATTATTAAAGCAAGAAAAGCTAACTAATCCTGTCATTGGGAGGAAAAAAGGAGCTGAAACTAGTGTAGCAATCTAAAAATGAGAAAATTAGTGAAAATATCTGTTCAATAGTAATTTTTCTTTTTTCTTTTTTGATTATTCTATTTATTTCTAGTCAACAATTTTATGATTGAACTAAATGGTGTTAAATTCAAAAGTAAATGAGAAATGACAGGCAAACTATAAATCGGAACTATTTACCGTCAATGTCCATATATTTTTTTACTTAACATATTCTCGTTCTTTGTGTCATACTCAATAAAATTTATTCAGATATTCGACATCTTCTATTAGTCTGTTTTTTTTTTTAATATAAAATCGTAGTACTGAGTAAAATATCATAACCTAGTTTTCCTCTTTTATTTTCTGCTATTTTTATTTTATGTTCCCATTTCTTTTTTCTCGTTCTTTCTCTGCTCTTTTATATCTGTCCTCTACTATAAACTATATTTTTTTTCTCCCTATTTATATAGAAAAACACATATACAAAATTCTTTAACGTTTATAACAAAGAAGTAACGTAATTATCACACTGAGTGAGAAGTGTGATGATGAGCTTAACACTTGAAACAGTGAAAAACTGTACGAAGAAAGGAAATATTTGACTTTCTTCTATAGACTTTCTCTTGAATAATGAGCGTTTGTATTGCAAACAAAATATAACAAATTCTTAATCGTTGTCGTCATAAATTAATAGTTATTATTAATGAGTATTATGCATTGTGTACAGATATTTTTATTCTTATTTATTTTTTTTCTCTTCTTAGTCAAAATAATTTTAAATGAAGAAATGAAAAAAATTTGTTTATTATTATTATATCTTTCTTTTGTATCATGCTGAATCAATGTCTTATTTAATACTACAATGAGTCTTAAATATCACCTATGATACTCGAATCTTTCATACTATCTATTAGTTAATATGATCTGTATACAAAAAGACCTTTTAAAACTATATATATATGCACTCTTGACTCTAGAATGTAGTTTTTATTTTATTTAATTTAAGATCTAAAATACTCAGAGAAATCATCGATCTATGATTCAGTACTGTAAAAGAAAAACAAGTAGTTCAGAACATATCCAGTTCATTTTAGCTTCTTTATGACGAAATAGAAGGAAAAAGTCTATATTTCGTTTAATATTTCTCTCTTTACATTAATACTTAGAAAACGTATAGAATGACAAGACACGTCAAGCCTTTTTGATTTATTTTCTATGAAGAATCTGTACAAGCTGCTAGCAGTCAAGTCGCCCACAAATCGAAAATATTTTTCTAACAACAGAATTAACATATCCAAGCTAGAGTATCATTGAATTATATCAAGAAAATTTTAAAAGTATTACATGGACATACTTACGGATAATAAAGAATTGAAGAATAAAACGAGATCAGGATGAATTTACGGTATCGCGTAACAGAGTACAAAATACATTCCATTGGAAACACATTTTAGTACACAGTTGATGTATCTTCGGCAAGGACACTATTTAATGTGTCCTCTTATGAGACACTCGTCAGTACAACACATTTTAGAGTATATTCTATGTGTCATCCTACACGACATTTAAAGAAGTGCCTACGTATACGGCACATATCAGTCATGGCATTTTAAATGTGTCTACAGTGTGTGCGTCTATTTTGAAAAAAAATTTATCTATCAAGCAGAACATGCGATCTTTAAGCAAAACAAAAATGTGGTATTGTTCCTGTTTTAGACGGGTCACTTGTCCTGAAAATAATTATTATTTTTTTTATCAATAATTTGTAATATGTTGATGTAACGAGAACAAAAAAGATCAAGGTTTTTCTTATTGTGTTTAGCATTAGAAAATATTGATATTTTTGTAATTAAAAAAAACATGTATAGGAAAAAAAATATACTTGTATACAATAATTTATAACGATGAAACTAACTTCTCTTAATACTACGTACCTTCTTTCAGATATGAATTGGTAACTCTTATGTTTTTATTGCATAATCACTAATGCATAACGATGTTAAGAGTTCTTCTCATTTGGGATTAACTCTATGGTACATCTATTCATTATCATTTCTTGTTTTCTTTTTCCTCACAAAAATTATCGTATATTTAAAATCAAATTCTTCTATACACATAAATCTTATCTTTGGATGACGCAAGCATTCTTCTTCTCTCTTCGTTTTCTCTTCGTTGAACATTTAAAAAACCAGAAGAAAAAAAGAAGAAGAAGATTCTCAATCTATAAAAATCTAAGAACAAACTGGTTGATGATGTTTAGAATAGATCAAAATTATTAGCTGTTTAAAATGATGAGGACAATGACATCTTGCTTTATATCTATCAAAACAGAAGAAAAAATCTATGATGTAAAAATACCTTCTCTACCACATTATAATCGTTTTTTATTATTGTTGTTTCCTTATTTGACTGGGTGGGAAATCATCGAAATATATTTTATGTGTGTAAATAGATCATAAATTTTTGTAATCGGAAATGGATCACAAAAGAGAATGAGAAGATGTTTTTCTCTATATGGTTACCGATGCCAAATGAAGAGGCAATAAACAAAACAATGGAGATTGAAAAATAGTTTTTGTAGAAAAAAAAAGAAGAACAATAATAGCTATTCGTTAATAAGGCATCTTCAACTAATGTAAGAAATGAGTAAAAGCATATGTATGATGAAAAATAAAATAAAAATTGATCATTATATTCTTTATGGAAATCAATGTCAGTCGATTATAAATGTTACATATTATGGATGTATATGAACACGATCAACATATCACCTTGAAGAAAGACACGCTTGTATGATTAGGTTAGAAAGTTTTAAAACATAGAGAACTCATAATAAAAGAAAATAAGTCAAAACATAATCATAAACTGTTCAATTATGGTAAATTTTATAAACTTTGATTAGAAGAACTTTTGAGTATTAGTCTCATCAGTACTGATGACATCATGTTTTCTGTGACATCTAAAACGAAGAATCTATACATGCACATACCAAGAACGAAAGACAAAAATATAATGCGTTAATTAAAACTATTATATATATATATGTGTGTGCGCGCGCTTATCGTCCAATGACATAGGGGAAAAAAATTAACAGGGTTCATGAGACTAAGTAGGGATCAAAGATTCTTATATTGATGAAATAAAAGATAACAGAGATTATAGATAATAAATTGTCTTCCGCTTTTCGCTAATAGATTGATTGAGTGGTGATACAGCTTCTCAATGTAATTAGGCAGATTTATTACTTAAGTGAAGGACAATAATTTGTGACACATTTCACTATGATCGAATTACTTTGAATAAATCAAGCGATTTTGAACAATGTTTGGATATTTGTAAGTGATCCATATGAACAGATAAGAGTTTCAAAAGCATTCATTATTCAATGTATAAGAGCCTTAAACTAGTATTTTTCTAGTATTAACTGCATTGTTTCAAAACTGTTATACTGCCAAAATGATCAAACTTTAGTGAATTAAGCATTCAATATGTGTATACGTGAAAGAGTCTTAAAAATTGAATAGAAAAAGCTCGTTTTTGTTATTATTCTTTGTACTTCAAATGTTTCAGTTGTCAATGTAACGTTCCGCTGGTAAAATAGTTAACAATTTTTTCATGTAAGAAAGTACCTAATCGTAATGAAGTGATGGAAACGTCTCAAAAGAAGATCGTATTGCGTTTGTTGTCAGCTTTTGTGAAGAGGAAAAGTATGAATATTCATACCGGACACAAATAAGAATTTGACTCTAAAGATCCTTTTACTAAACGTTTATCTAGAAAACTATTCAAAAAATACTATCAGATGCACAGAATAAATAAAGTATAAAAACAACAACTCTTTCTGTTCACTTTTTTTTAAGCTCTTTTACGTGAACAACTTTTTACAGCTTAATTTATTGCTTTGATACTTTAGACTACGATACATGAGAAAAAGTTGTTTTTGCTCGTATGTTGCTCGCAGTCACTGTTGTCGATTTTCTACAGTTACTACTTTACGATTATTCATATCACTAATCAAATGTCCTTAAAGCGCTACGACAAAATAGAAAATAAACAATAAACTGCTTTAAGTGTTTGTTCTTTACTTTATATGTAGTCGAAACTTCAAAGAAACCTTTTTAATTAATAAGCTACAAAAGATTTTCTTCTTTTTATCCCTAATTACGTTATTTATACACATCAATACCGAGAAATTTCTTATACAGATTAATAGTATCTATTATCTTGAAATAAAAATACATTATTTTCAATTGTAATCTGAGAAACACAACCTCAATAAGGAGAAGTGAAGAACATCAGATCTTCTCAGAACTTTCTTTTAATTAAGGTTTACATACATATCCTGTGTGTGAAGCCTCCAATACATGGAAAAACTGCAATTCTATTACACCGTAGTCACCTGCATTTCCAAGAATACTTAATTTTTTGTCAGTAAGTAAGTCGTTGTTGTTAGAAAACAATGTAATTATTGTCTTGTTGTACACCCTTATACATGAAAACAAAAATAGACGTACAGACCTTCAAAATCGATAGCTACTTGTGTGTATGTTGTTAATTTGCAATACACAACGGCATTTTTTTCTTTGTTTCCCTCGCAAAGTTTTCTATCGACTATCTATTTTCATTTCTTTTTCGTTAAAAAGGAAGAAGAACATAGTGTAATTGTAAGATATATAGTAAAACTGTACGAAGAAAAAATGCGATGATAACTGAGCGTGTAGGGCCAAGAAGCTTCTTGGAATGAAAGAATCATACATGAGAAATTGTCTCCCTTCAATCAATATAGCATGGTGTACTATATTTCTTTCTTTGTTTAAACAAAAACACAATGGAGATGTCCTACTGTTTTCCTCTTTTTTTTCCGTCTTTTGTTTAATGAATATGCTATTTTGCTTTTTTTCAGGTTTCTTAATACTGATTTATAACTTAAATTCATTGTATTTTTTTACAATGAACTTTGTTTGATTGATGATAAAACTTCAGAGCTCTCATCATTCTTGTACTAAGACGAAGATTTATACCAGAACAGTATGGAGAGCAAGAAGATAGACAAAATTCATTTTCACTAGCAGAGAGTATATCAGTTTTTTAACATATGATGCTAATACATTATTTAGTCACGTAGTTCGACAGTCGCAGGTACACTAGGCCGACATGAATCACGATCAAAAGCAAAAATTAGTGAACAATTAATAATAAAACGTTTTCTTT